CGTATTATAGGTGGTTTTGGAAAAACATATATATTCATCATGAGCAGGAGTGGTATACGCAAGTAGATAAAACTAAAAACAATAACTCCTTCTCCCTTCTACCAAAAGCCCGTTTACATCCACCCACATATCAATCCTTCCATCGAACACATTCAAATCCCTCAAACCCTCCTCAAACCCTCCTCATTCTCGGCCCAGAAGGCAATCCAACACCGCCTCTTGGTCCACTAGGTAATCCCACTCCCGTCCTCGGTCCTCCAGGTAATCCCATACCTCTTGGTCCTCCCGGCAAACCCCCCTTAACCGAAGGTCTCTGTGACAATTGTCTTGGCGGCTGCATGAACTGTGGTTCCTCCTCCTTCCTCACCACCGGCATCGGCATCGGCATCCCAGATCTCTCTGCCGCCATTCCTGCAAACGCCATTCTAATTTTCTCTTCCGCCTTTGCCATCTCCTCTTCTCTCGTCAAAGGTCTCTCTTCCTCCTCTTCGTCGTCTTCTCCAAGGAATTCATCCGCTTGTTGTTGTCTCTGTAATCTAATCGCTTCTTCTCTTTCCATATCCATTTCCGCTTCTTGTCTTTCCTGTTGCATTCTCATCATCTCTCTTTCTTCCCGCTCGATCATATCCATTCTTTCCATTTCCATTTGTGCATCATATCGTTGCTGTTCTGCAACACGTTCCTGCTCTTCCCTTCTCCTCATCATTTCCATTTCCCTTTCATCTCTTTGTCTTTGTCTCTCCATTCTTTCTTCATAAGCCCTTCTTTCCTCTTCCTCCTCTTCCATTTGTAATCGTTCCTGTTCATCTCTTTCAGCTCTTAACCGTTCCTCCTCTCTCATTTGAGCCTCCATTCTTTCATTTCTCTCTCTTGCTTCGCGATCTCTTCTTTCATCGCGTTGACGAGCTTGTTCGGCATAAATTCTTTCCTCTTCTTCTCGTTGACGCTCTTCAAATTCTTCTTCGCGTAGTTGTTCTTCGTAAGCTAGTCGTTCTTCTTCTTGTAATCGCTCTTCTTCCAACTGGCGTTCGATTTCTGCTTGTCTCTCTTCTTCCTCATATCTTCTTGCTGCCTCTTCGGCAGCCAAACGTTCTTCTTCTTCTAATCTCTCTCTCTCGGCCTTTCTCTTGATCGCTGCAATTCTTTCTTCCTCCTCTAACCTCTCCTTTTGAGCTTGTCTCTCAATCGCGGCAAGTCTCTCTTCTTCTTCAAATTTCTTAGCGGCCTCTTTCCTCGCAATTTCCGCTAATCTTTCTTCCTCCTTAATTTTTCTAGCTGCCTCTTCAGCTAGCCTCTCCTGTTCTCTCTCAAAGGCTCTAATCTGTGCTGTTAATCTCTCCGCCTCCTCTTGAGCCTCTCTCTCTTCAGCTTCTCTCTTCTCCCTCTTGATTCTCGCCTGTCTCTCAACTTCCTCCCTCTCCTTCCTTAGCCTCTCTTCTTCAGCTTCAGTCTCAATTCGTATCCTTTCCTGTTCCTCATAGAAAGCCTGCATTTCTTTCGCCTCCTTAGCGATCCTCTCATCTTCTTCTTGCATTCTTCTCAAATTTTCTTCCATACTCATTCTCTCCTCTTCCATTTCTTCTTTCTCAAGTAATATTTGTTCGGCTTGTCTTTCATATTGAAGTAATTTTCTTTCGGCTTCAGCTTCAATAGCCTGTTCGGCAATTTGTACAAATCGAGGCGAGGTAGCAAGCTTTACCATATCTTGAAAGGAACGCTTGGGACGAAGACGGAATTGAGGTGGAATAGGGCTTAGTTGACCATTTATCATGGGTGAGCGTGGAATAGTGGTAACTGTTTGGGTCTTTGGGGGGAGAGGACTTAGTTGATCTTTTAGGAGAGAAGGAATCGGTCTTGTTGTCACTATAGGTGCTGGAACATTTGGAATGGTTTTGGTGACTTCGGATACTACTACTGGAAATCTCGTCACTGCTTTCGATTTCCTTTTTGATAGCGCGTTACTCTGTGATATTGTCTTTGGCAAGTCCGATACCACTTTGGCAGTTTCCAGAGCCGGAGGAATAACTACCGGAATCGGTTCCGGCTCCTTACCAGTTGTCGATATTCCAGATTTTCTCATCTCGCTTATTCGCACTTCTGTCGATTTTCGTGTAGTTGGAGTTTCTACCGCAGGTTCCATCGAATTCAATCCAGCCATAATATCGTCCAGTGCTGAGACTGACGCCTTCGGTCTCCGTTGATTCCTTGGCTTGCCCAAAGCTGGCTTTTCAACTCCTTTCTCATTATCGACTGGTTTTGGAGTAGATGGATTGGACATAAATTCTTCACCAAAACCAGCCAAAAGATCATCCAATGCAGATATTGAAGCTTTAGTCTTACTGCGAGTGGAAGCCCGTTTCGTCGAGGAACTTGCCCCCTTGAATGATGACCTTGTTGAAATAGGTGTGTTTGGACTGATGGAGTTAGGTGTCTCGGTCATCGATCTTCGGGAGGGATCTGAGTCGGTCGGTGAAACAGGCTCTGTTGGCTGCTGTGTTTGCACTGAGATGATAGGTTTCGACTGCTGCTTAAGTTGAAGAGATCGCAGAACATTCGTAGGTTGAGAAGGTTCATTAGGTTTGATAGGCTGCACAGGTTGCGGCGATTGGACTGGTTGAGAAGGCTCAAGAGGCTTGACAGGTTCCACGGGTTGCACAGGATGAGAAGGCTCAAGAGGCTTGACAGGTTGCATAGGTTGCGTCGCCTGGACTGCTTGATCATTCTCTGGAGAAACAGATCTCGACCCGATCGCAGCAGCTTTTCTCTCTGTTATTAACTTTTCGATCTTGCTCATCTCGGGCATTGCTTGAATCTTTATCTCCTTTACCTCTTCCTCTTCCACAGGAGAATCCACTTCCCCTTTATCCTCCACAATTTTCTCTTCAACCTTCTCTTCCTTCGGCGTACCATAACCAAACATCTTTGCCATCCTTGCTCCTCTACTATTAGATTTTAACGTCGGCATTCTCGTTATGGAAGCTGTGCCCATCCCAAGATTCCCCACACTTCCCAACTTTTCATCGAAACGTTTCTTCACATCTTCGCTGGGGTTTGGTACCGAACCATCCTCCTCAAGGAGTAAGGGCTCGATAGTTTTCACATCAGTATTGGTGTTTAGTGGTACGATGGGTGTAATTATTGGTTCATTCTCTTTGTCTGCGGGCGTTACCCCAGGATTCTTCTTGACATAGGAGGAAAAGTAGGCTCCCCAAGTTGCCATGATATTATTGGTGTTGTTCTTGTATCAATGTTTTTCTGTCCAAGGTCAGGTTGTTAGCTACTTTCCCACAATCTTCGGGTATTTGGGGAACTTGCTTATAGACTTTGATTGTAAGAGTATTGTGTTCTATTGTATTATTGCACCGTATCATACCATATAGCATCGTATCGCATTATTCATTAATTGTTGTAGCATCAAGCTGTTTGTAAGTAAATCAAATTATACCTTTCAATGGTTTCCAGCACCTTAGAAAGTCAAAATAAAGTTTCCTGCACACAATGACCGTGGATCCCGAAGAAATAACGATTATGATAAGTAGGAAAAAAGAAGACGGAAGCTGTCAAAATCCATGACGGCTGTGATGTGCATTAGTTAAATGGAAGATCCAAACGTGATTACTTTTGTAGGTGACATCAAAATCTGTCACTATCATGATACATGCAACGTTTGAAAGTTTGGTATGAAATCACTCAAGACAATTTGGCGGGGTAAGATGAGAATGTAGGGAAGCCCCATGCGACGATGAGCGATGCGACGCATGGCTAGGGAACAAATGTTTTGCCATTGTGAATCTCAGATATGATTCCACATTTTCGCTTTGAAGTTTTGAAAATTCATCGACGACGATGTTGTCCATGAAATTGATGGTTTGAAGTATAACTTGAAGGTTTTCGTCCACGAATAAAACCAAGTACCTATTTGAAAACCCCGTGCTTTTTTAGGGCAATTAGTATATACCGAGCAGGTGTTAAACTCAAGAAGCTTGCGGTGTAAGGTTATTTATAAAGCATCTGCCAAGCCTTCACGTCCAAACATCCATTGTCAGTGCGATGATTGAGACAAACACCTTTTCAAAACACAAAAGCTCTTATTTTTTTCGCCTCTTTGAAACTTCGACTGAGAAATGTCTTATAGTTCGAGGATAAGATACCCTCTACTCCCATCATTGAATGACGTACGTGTGAATCCTTGGGATTCATTCCTGCACCTTCGGAGATGTATTTTCAGATATACGTCGAGACGGGGGCAAGAAGGTCGAATGATGAACAGGATTGGGACAAAAGGAATGGATAAAACCATTGAAGTTAGCAAGAGAGACATATCCACCACGTCATATAAGGAGGTGACAGCCACGAGATTTGGGAGAGACAAATTCTAACAATCCTATAGAACTTGAGACTCATCGGAAAGGTGGGCAGGTGGGTAGGTGAGTACGTACTGATTCCTCCCGGTTTTGTTGCCGTCGTGTTTCAAAGCCTCTCATCGTGATGATGTGTCAAGACGATACAGAATTCGATGCGAAGAGGGTACAGAGTAATTACAATTCTGTCTTGTACAGGCGAAGAATTACCACATCAACGTAATCATGGAAGTTTTCCATTTTACGACAAAGTTGGTGTCTTGAAGCAATCGAAGAATTTCAGTTCACCAGCTCCAATCCAATTCTTCACGATAGCTTCGATGAGCTGTCAAAAAATTGGGGATATGAAAATGCTACGATTATGTAATAGACCTAGAGCTATCATACTCCACCAGGTCGCATCTTTCTTTACGCAATCGTGGTTCAAATCAGATTCCATGCAAAAGTGTACTTCAGAGTACCTCCAACATAATCATGGATACTTTTACATTTTCTCTTCATCAAATTACTTCTTAAATTCATTCCACCTCTTAGGTGAAGTCTTGAGTAACTATCATGATCCAAATTGCTCACTCACCAGGCTTGACCCCTTTTCCTTTTCTCAATCTCCCGGTCAATATTCGTCAACATATCTACAAGATGCTTTTATGTACATTTGAAGATCCACCAGAAGATTTGAAAGATAATGGCCTCACACTTGTCCCCATACGAATCGCCAAGCTCCAGCATGATATTCACCCCCAAATACTTCGGACATGTCGAAAGATCAATGATGAGGCTACAGTTATCATGAGAGAAACGAATCTCTTCGTTATGGTGACCGGTGTTATAAGATTGGATGAGCCAAGGAATTGCTTCTTCTCAAAATACATTCCAATGGTCAGAGTAGAAACAGAGCAGCAAGAAAAAGACTTCCGGAAAGCTTGCGTAATGACTCATGAGATCTGTGGATCAACAAAATCCTCAGGAGTTTTACCTGATGAGCCATACAAATTTATGCTACTTCATCGTCATCTTCCACTGTTATGTGCAGCTTTGGTTGTCAGTGCAATAGGAACGCTTCCGTATTGTGATGAGATGTCAGCACCTCATATCGTTACTATTCTCGAAACTTACGACAAATACGTGTCTAAGTCGTCATCCTTGTCTGAGCAGCAGCAAGAGAAACTCATTGCACCTTACCGTTCTGAATTCGAGGGTTTCATGGGGTTTCAATTGAAAGGGAATATATCGAATGAGTTGAAGGACGCTGTCCTGTCAGGAATTACTCGGGCCCCGCAGCTCAATATCGAAGGGACTATTCACGGTTTGCAGAGCATGGAAGCAAAAGGAAATGATTTCTTCGCTCTAGGAGATGTTGAAAATGCAAACCAAATCTGGTGTCAAGCTTTAATAAAGATTCGACGAATCTTGACAATGATCAAAAGAGAATTGTTGCATGAAACCCATGAGCCGGAGTTTACATACCAACTCATGAACATATATTTTGATCTTTCATCGGATCGTCTTCAATACATCATCCATGCAATGGAGACGGCCGGAATTCAACAACGAAAGGCTCTGTTCCGTGTTCTATCGCGTACAGTTGATGACCCCTTCAATATGAACAGTCATTGCAATCTAGAGGGCTGGGCACCATTTCAGCCCAAGTTGGCAGAGTTTAGATATCGAGAAGCTATCGGTTGCAGACTGGCGGGAGTATCACGTGCACACGAGGCAATTGAAGAAGCTTTGAGAGCCATGCCTAATTATCCTGAGTTCTTGGAGGAGCAGAAGAGGATTAGAAGGGTATAGCCTTTAGGATACTGTCGGCTACCAAGGCTTTACTAGTGACCAACTCTATAGAACAGGATAACATTGAGTTGCAATTTCGGCATGTTAGTCCCAGTGTTGCCTTGAGTGGTAGCAGAGTCCTTGTGGAGTAAATAGTCGATTTATATCCACCAGCAATGCATGATACGGTAACTCACCCTTCTTGATGAGTTCGTTGATTATATTCCCGTTTGTTGTCATGCTCAAGAAGCAAGTAAAAAAAACGCCAAGATTGTTTGTATGGCAGCTTTAATCTGCAGATGATCCCGTACTATCTTTGTCGCACTCTATATAAGGAACTCTTCCTCACATAACTTCATCTTCTTTCTACATTTGATTCTCTTACATCATCTTAACATCTCAATCACAGTCGCACTTTGATAATAAAAGGCAACTCTGCGACCATCTTTCAAGTCTTTCTGCCATACGAAGCGAAATTACCCAATCTTTATATCCTTTTCATCATCAACAGCGATCAATTTTCCAAATTGCATCATGTCATTTGATATCGAGATATCCACCTCTTTGCCAGCAGTTAAGAACGTCAAGAAGCCTTTTACATTTCAAGATCTCTCGGGTGAACTTCGCAATAAAATTTACGAGCTTCTACTTTGTGACTTCGAAGAAGTGTTGGTTCCATGCCAATTTTCTGATCTACCGTCGCCTGATCAGGTGGCTATCACCAGGCACCATATTCATCCTCAGATCTTGAGAACATGCCGACAAATGTGCCAAGAGGGCACATATTTGATGCGAATGAAAAACCTCTTTGTCAGATTTGAGTGCGAAGTCTCACCCTACCAGAATACCCTTGCACTTCTAGAGACCAAAGTTCCTTTTCTCGTACCCGACCCGTCCACTTCAAGGGACTTCAAAGGAACCGTTTTGACCCACAAGATTTGTTATCGGAACTCTAGATCACGCCCTCAACCAAGTGCGACCTTCATCCTATTAGCACGTCATATTCCCGATCTGTGTCGAGTATTGTCTAAAATTAGATGGAAAATCAACCTACATGACGAGAATGTCAAGCACATTGTGACTCTGACCGATCCCTATGCGGAACAGATCTCTGAATTCTCTGCCTTATTCGGGCCGGTATCTGCATTTGTTTCCCCACCGAGAGGAATCGAATCTTTCTTGACTCGAAGGAAACAAGAAGAACTCATAGCTCCATACCGCACCCATCTGAAAGCATTCCCTAACCTGGAGTTCAATGGTGTAATATCTAAAGATTTACAAAAAAACGCGACATCAGAAATCGCTTTTATGCCAGAGGTGTACAGCAAAGATCAGATACAAATATTCGAGGACAATATTGAACAAATGGCGGATCAGGGACAAATATTCTTTGTTGAGAAAAGATATGTCAAAGCTATTAGGGTATGGGCCCAGTGTCAAGAATTAATATTCAGTCAATGTTCAGGCAAGCGAGGAGAGCGCTTACTCAAGGGGTTAGAAGTGGTATCTCTGAATAATATCGCAGATATACTTTTTCATATTGCCTGTATGCGCGCGGAAACCACACTTCACCTAATGAAAACAAAGTGGATAGCAAACCACGAGAAGATAGTTATTGAGGCGACATTGATAGCCAAGGCGGAAGAAGACTATATTACCTGGCTAACGGATCATAAAAAGGAGGTGACTTATATATACGACGCAGACAAAGATGCGAGGATGTATTTCAACTTATCGAAAATATTCCAACAGTCGGGTCATCTGGAATGGGCCATTGACGCAATCTTGCAAGCTCGTCATATAGATCCAAATGACTGGGAATTCGTTGATGAAGAGGCTAGGGTTCGCTCGGCTATCTCCAAAGAATTTAGAAGAAAGTGGATACCAATCTATGGCACTTCATACGCAATTCTCAATCCAAATCGTTTTTTGCCAAAACGTTTTTTTGGATATGAAATTCAATTTCTGATTTTTTAGTATGGTTCATCTTTAGTACTATTTAGTTTCATATTTATGTTAAATAGCTTTTATAGAATAATATTATAGATATTGTATGAACTTAGGTGAATGACTTCAATTCAATGGCTACTATATCAAAGGAATCAAGCGAATGCGAAAGAGACTAGCTCTTTCAGCAGTGCCTATATAAGGCCTTCACCCAAGCAATGAAACAATGTCTTTCATACGTGATCGTGTTAACATTATCGATCTAGCTTTAAACTAGTCAGATTACATGTACCCCTTTTCTATACATCCTCCAACTTCCCTTCTACTACCTCAAGTCCACAAATCATCCAACGTTCACTTCTTCCCATTCTCTAGCAAACACCCAAACAATGAGTTTCACATCACGCATCTTACAGATTATAGCACCGTTGTTATAAACTCTCAAATATGGATACACAACACCTACAATTAATTACCTTATTTTTCACAGAATATTTTAGTGTCTGCCAAGAGAAGAGTGATCGATCGATACGTCTAGAGATCTGAGAATAGATACGCGAGATCTTACCTAGTTTTTATCTCGACTTGTCACTTTCCCCCTCTCTCTCCCTCTCTCCCTCCAATCTTCATCCATTCAATTATTCATCCATCCATCCATCCATAATTCTGCTAATCCCCTCACTTATACTCTCATAACATATCACTACTACCACCACATCGCCCTCCTCAGAAATCTTATACCATTTCATAGGTCTTACATATTGTATAACTCTATAAATCTTCACATCACATCAAAATCCATCAATTTATTCACCAACATCCCAGTGCATCCATCTATCAACTCATTCAACAGACAATACAATTATCCCATCCCCGCAATTCGTCACTCCCCCATTCCCTCACCCCCCTATCCCTCACTCCCTCATCCAATCCCGAACTCCCATCTAACCCATACTCAATCACTCACTTCACCCTAGTTTAAGTTTTAACACATCCCTAACCCCGAATCCCCAACCCTCTCCCCACCATCTCCTCTTCTCAAAATCCCCCACTCAAAGCCCCAGTCCCAAAATCCTCGCTTCGTTCTTCACATCACACTACTTCCACCTTCACCTCACCTCACTCCTATCCCATCCCAATCCTCCGCCTACTTCAAATCACAGCACATCCCACCAAATCATATCACTTATATAAAACCCACTCAACACCCAATAACTACCTAGCCACCTCGTACCCCGACCTAACGAACTTAACTCTAACTCCTTCCCCAACGCCGATGTATCCCCTGTATATCTACCATGATTCTTTTGCCTCACTTATATATCTACATCTTTAAACTTTTATATCTTCAAAACGTCTTGAAAATATAATGCGATATAATGTAAATTGTTATGAATTGTTATTTTGAAGCTAGAGATAAGGCGTGGTGAGAAAGACGAGAGGAAGGATAGGAGGTAGGTAGGAGATTAGTTTTACATATTTTTCGTGTGTATTTCCATCGACGTGAATGTTATCATGTTATTATGTTCTTGTAATTAATATCGAGCGATGATGGAGAGTCTCAAGCAAAGTAGCGATGATCACCAGGGTATTAATAAATGCAACTCAAAATCAGTGAACAGAGTTAGTTAAGAACTCGAAAATGTTGAAATTTTAAGGAAATTTGACTGGTACAATACTGTGATCCTTGTTGTAAGTGACATTTATCATGAGTAACGGGTCCTCGAGAGCATTATATAACAAAACAAAGGACAACCCGAACAAGGAATTTTTAATACCCCTTTCTTAAATCCTTCACTCGCTAAACGATTCACTCTCCACCGAATTGCTCGCACCATTTCTTCCACCAGAAGCAATCAGTTCCCTGTCCCTCTGCCGGGCCTCTTCCCTCGTTCTTTGTCTACCCGATGCCTTCGTTTCAACATCCACACCTTGTTTCTGTCTTTGATTATCTCTGTGTCTTCGAACACGCTCTCGAGCCATAGCTTTCTTTCTCTCATCTTTGGCCTGTGCTAAAACTTCTCTCTCAACTGCTTGTAATCCTTGTTGCCTGTCCTTCTTACGTTGTCGGCATCTGCGTTGTCTTTCTCTGTCCATATATTTTCTGCGCGCGTCTTTGGCTTCTTGAGTGGTTCCTATAGGTGGGATACCAGGTCCTTCCTGTGTTGTCTTAGAATATGTAGTTTATTCTAGATCAAAGGGGGGATTCAAATGCGCGGGAAACTTACGGGCTTTACGGAAGTCTTTCTTCGTTTATTAGAAACACTAGCAGAAGAACTCATTTCAGGCTCTTCACTTCCAGCAGATGATTCCAAAACATCCCGTCTTCTTTTATTGTTGGCGACTGGAGGTGTATCAATGGAGGGTTCGGGTACATGTACTTGATCTGCGACTTTTGGAAGTAATGGTCTCTTCATATTGCTGCGATTGGTCTTGGGGTTTTCAATTGGGTTGTTGTTGCTATTCGATGTCTCTACCTCTTCTGCCATGATCTCAGCCTCCGATTGGTTGCTTTCTGCATATACCTTCGGCTTTGAGGGTCTACCTCTTCCTCTTGGTTTGCGAGTCGTCGAGTTGTCGACTGAAGGTTCATTCTTTGCTAATGACTCTGCGACTTCTGCGGTTTCCTCTTCTTCCATGCTGGTACCTTCTGCTTGTGCAGTAGAAGCAATAGCTTCATCTTGAACCACTGTTTTTGTGTTCTTCGCAGGTCTACCCCTTCCCCTTGTTTTGCGAGTATTTTCGACTGGTTCCTCAGTATGCGCCAATGTCTCTACCTTCTCGGCAGATCCTCCCCTCTTATTACGACCATGTCTCGAAGGTAGAACTGCGACTGGTTTACCATTTCCTGATCTTTTGGTTGGCTTTGGTGCCTCTTGTGTCTCAATGTTGTCTGTATTCTCTGCCGTGACATCCTCCGGAACTTCATCTTGAACTTCATTTTTCGTAGTTGGTTTGACCGCCTCCTCAAGCTTCTCTTTGATATTACTGATCTTCTTACTCAGTGGTGTATCGAGCACCGACTCATCCTGCTCTGTTGACAGTCCCTCGTTTGCAGATTCTTCTCCTACATTGTTGCTCTTGCCGTGACGAGTCGGTGTGTCGGGATTGGACTCGATCTGGCGCAGGGATGGCGAATTGTTCAAATTATCATTTTGTTGAGCAGGTCTAGGACTTTGTAATTTTCCAATTGTGTTCGATAGGAACTTCCAGACTCTTGCCGACATTTTTATCGAGTAACTGGTATGATATTATAAGTTGTGCTGCGACAAGTAAATTGAAAAAGAGAGAAAGAATGGACGAAGAAATTGTGGATGATGTTAAAATAATTTTGGTCACAGTGAGTGAGTGACTAGTTTAGTGCGGCCGCAACCGTACTCGAGAAAAAGAGTGGATTATGCCCAGGAGCTTTAACCTTATCGTCGCGTTCCAACCAATTAAGCGCGTCACTATGCAATCAATTAGACCGTTACCATATTCGAATTGAATGGATTGTCGCGAATGCCGCAGACATTAATAATTATGATAATGTTGGCATTGTGGATCTCAATTGAATGCGGGTGATGTTGAATAACGTATCTCTCGTACCGTTACTATACCCTCATTCGTTGCGAAGAAGTTTTTTTTCAAACTCTTTTTCGTGACGGCAGGGTTGAAGTGACAACAAAACATGACAACGTCACAATCCTGCAAACTACTGATGAACCTTGACTCGAGTAAGAATAGTCAATCGCCAACTCGCCAATCCGCTGATCACGGAAACGTTAGGGCTTTTTGACTCTTCCCCGGAAATTTCTGAAACTGCAATGCAGTGTACATTCAATCAAGAAGACACGCTTTTTTGATGAAGGGATGATCTTTAATGAGGGGCATAGCATGCTGTCGCCCACTTCCATATGAAATTTCGTGGAAACCCGGATATCGACCCAACAAATGCTTCTGGTTAGTTAGGCTAGAAACAAAAACGGGACGATTTAAAAGAAGGGTCGTGAAGAGGGGTGGTAGGAGTTCAAAGTTCATTGTCACCACCGGAATCAGATATGCTAGGAGTACTTTTCGAAGTGTCGAAACATGCAATGCGCTACAACTGTTGTCGTCGCCATAGTCACTTCTAGCGATGCAAAATCATTCGAAATATGTATTAGAATCAATCTAAAATTAATGTCGAGTTTTTGCAGACCCAATCCCATCCAAGGAAGAGCTAGTGACTCGATTCTGTATAGTGACTCCTATTTTCATCATGAAAAATCATCACCAAAACACCAGCTATCATAATATAGTCCCTCAAACCCCGAATGTACAGAAAGCCATATGCTTATCCACATGCCACTCGCAACCCGCCCCTCGCAACGCCATTTTTTTAATCGTAAGAACCATCATACTTTCAAACTCGTTCATTCAGCTATCTCCCTAGCAAATCCAGTTTCAGCCCCAAGATGTCCATCTCGCTCCAGCGAGATACGGACATTCGGTTCTGAATTAAAATAGCCATACATACCGCTACAGTTGGCACATATCCGAGTATCTGGACCACCATGCTCATCAACATCCCAAGGTGTGAAGATATCGGGCCCCCAACCGTCTCGAGTCGGTCCATAAATATCCGTTAGCTCATCGTCGTCGAGGTCAACATCATGATGTCCAAAGATACCCTCATATTCATCAAGATTCAACTCCGTTCGACGGGAAAGCAAGATTCTGTAGTCTCCTTCAACATTCTCAACAGGTAGTCCACTAGAAATATGGAATCGTACTTCCGATCCTTCTAATTCGCCAAACGTGGCGGGAAGTTTCTTCCAGACATATTTCTCCACGGCGCCTTCTTCTCTAGATTCTGGTAATGTATTGGCATAATACTTGAGTTCTGGTAAGAAGGACTCATCTTGTATAAATATCTGCAAGTATTCACTTGAAACGGTGCTTATGAAGTGAGGTAAGATGCTGCAACCTCTTATTCCACCATTTCTCATAAGATAACCCAAGCATTCATAGGCTAATGACCCATTTCGCTCCAACGGCTGACCCCTAATATACAAATTATCAATGATCGGACCCAATGTCTCTCTCGTCATCTTCCTCAGGTCGATTCCCGGGCCAGGAAGATTGTCTGTGAAGTTCACAAGGTCAATCATCATAGAACTTAAATTCTTGAAGGCTATTATATGCTCCTTTGACCTAGTTTGTTGCCTGCCGTGCCAGGGAAGCTGGAGTGCGTTGAGAAAATCAAGTATTTGTCTCCAACAATAGCTTTGTAGACCTGTCCAACTAAGATTGATGTTTGGAATACGCTTTATAGGTTTCACCGCGTACCAACGTTCAACTCGCTGATCAAAGCCCAGTGTGACAAATTTGTTAGAAGCTTTGTCGTCGTAGTATTTTCCAACAATCCGTAACTCTAAATGTTCCAATTGGGCACAGGATCTGGGGTGTGTGCTGACGAACCACTTCAAAGATGAGACTTGAGTGAAGATGAATCTGTTGTCCGCAAAGAAGGTTCTCTTTCCATCGTTGTAAAAGAATTTAGATAGTCGCAAAAACTGCACAGGAAGCTTTTTTTGCTCAGCATGCTCCATCTCAGTGACATTGGACTTCAATATTTTGACACCAGGGTCAATTATTGGATGTGCTAGCTGCAAAGCAAAGCGTATAATGCGAAGCTTCACTTCGAGTGGTAGCTCGGGGTTCGACCTTGTAGTTGAAGAATCGGATGCAGCGATCGTGCTCAAATTTTTGTTGGCGGGCCAGGCAATGTTGTGGGTAGCGAGAAGTTTTTTAAGACTTGCGTTTTCTCTCGAAAGTGCACTATTGTGTCCTTCGAGTTTCTTGTTCTTTCGGAAAAGTTGGTCAATTGCGGCATCTAGTGGTCGATGTTTGTTGATAACAGATGGAGAATCATCTGAAGGTCCGTCCCATATGGACCTCTAGAATGTAATCAGTAAGAATGTCTTGATAGAAATCATGGAGGATTTCTTACATCTGGATCATAAACAAACAGATCCATTGTCTCGTTAGATTTGATAAAATACAGGTAGTCTGATATTCTCCCTGAACCTGTATTTCAAGGAGTTTTTGGTTGTCGCTGACAGAACTTGTGGAAGGAAAAAGTCTGTTGATGTTTCAGGAGCTTTTCGAAGTAATATAATAACCTAAAAAGTAATCAGAGGGTATTACTGACATTGCACGGACCCATCAACTTATAACCTCCACTACCCGAGCCAATTAGAAATTCCTTCCCATGTTGCAGCCACAAACATATTGAGGTGAATGATTGTCAAAGAAGTATTCTTCTTGTTTATTGCTAGGATCTGTCATTCAGTTTCTTTTTCAACCAAAAATACAAGGTAAAATCAATCTAAAGGTGCGTAGGTATCCAAAGATGCCTTTATCTACATAAGATACATTGACAAGATGTCGTTATGGTAGATTTTGATGATAACAAAGACCTTGCTGATCACTTCATAGTTTATTATATGGCTGAAGATTGACAGTATCAGCTCCTGGCCTCTGATCGCTGAATTTTGCCTGCTTCCACGAGTAGTTCCACCGTTGCACACGATTTGAACAGGTACTGGTTGGAACTCTGGAATAATGGCATTCAAGAGAATTGGGAGGCTAAGATAAAAATTTTAGCAATTTGCGTCAAGGTTGAACAGCAACGGCAACTAAATCTGGAGAGCTTCCGATTAGAGAACTGCGGCGCAGGGCTCTTGCTCATTGACATGCCACAGTCAATCCCCAATTGTATGAGTTGATCCTCTCAACTAGGAGTTACGTTCATCAAGAGGCTTTAGACACAAAGGTTACCTCCTGTTTTGGGACTTTCTGCCGCCCATATTTCAAAAGAGGAATCAACGAGAAAGTACCACATCAACGAGAAAAAATGCGGAATCACGGTATCAAGATAACCATCATATTTTGGAGCAACAATATACAAGGAAAAAACTGGGATATATAACCAGGACAGAATTTTGAGTCATAAAACACGCAACTACTTGCAGCGCATAAAATTTTCCCTTCGGTCAGTTTCGACTAGGGCAGTCCAGATTTCGGAGACTTTGAAAAAGGACGATGACCGAGTGGTCAGTATTCCAAATAACAAGGAGTAATGGAACTAGTCAAAGAACCACGAAACAGAAATAAACTGAGGAAGTCTTCGAACACAAGGTGTTTAGCAGTTATCATCTGGCCCGTCCCATGGGGGTGGAAGGGGGTACTGGGGCAGCCTCTCGCCTCAATGTCATGATTTTGAGAAAAGCCTCATATTTTTGTAAATCTCTTTCAATATCCCAACACCTATCGCTAGCTATTGGGTATATTGGTCTGCAGCAGCATCTTTGTGTATGTTCACAGATATTCGCGTAACAACATATAGGACCTGATCCTGAGCCCGACAGCATCAGACTTGGGATCATGAACGCTCCTAGCGGCCTTCCAACTAAGAGCGTACGAATGCGTTTCATTACTCCCCGAAGGGAGTTGGATATCTAGCTCTGCAACAGTGAGTGGGGAGTCAGGATGTTGGGCAAGGTGCAATCCACCATACTGCAATTGCTAGCGAGGACGTGTTTTGTTGTTCAAACTGAAAAGAGTTGAGATTCATGAGTACTGGCACTAGTTGAGATTACATCGCATGGTATCATAGAGATGCAGTAGTGTTGCGCTATTCAAAATCTCGAAGTGATGCTCGATCAATTGGATGAGATGATGTTGTGTTGTGCAAGGTTGCCGTCACACCGTCTTCGGCAGAATTGTCGCTTGTCTGACTAAGATGTGTCTTCCACCAATCATATAGTCATGCTTTTTATTCCTTCATATCACTCTCTTCCCTTTAACCTTATTAATATTGAAAATAATCTCTCGCAAATACATCCGTCGGGAAAATGAGAAGAAATCTCATTTCAATCCCACGCTCAACTTCTCGGGTTACTTACAATCATCATCCGCGATTGTGAGATTCCGACTCTAAATCGGCGCGAACAGCTTTTCCCTTGAGCCTTACCAGTTGACAAGTAAGGTTATACCCCAGCTCCGGCTATTGATAATAAACAACTGAACTTCTGGCAGATTGGTACCCCATCAAGTTTCTTCCATAAGCACTGCCGCAAGTGTCTCATCTTCCCTCCAACAACCTGCAACATGACAGACCTTTCACCACGGGAATCGATCATGGAGAGCCATCGCTTCACACTATTTCCAAAGCTACCAATGGAGATGAAAGACAAAATCTGGAGATTGGCTCTCGAGCCGCGTTTAGTCGAAGTTCGACCCAAAGAAGACATCGACGACGGATTTTATTCCACTGCTCCGCTACCCGCTCTGTTGACAGTCTGTAAAGAGTGGGAGAGAGCTCTCAAACATTTGTACCCTAAATACTTTGTTCGATCGCCCGATGGTCCAGGAATCCGATTCAACGCTCAAATTGACACCCTATATCTGGATTGGAAACTTCAAGAGCACTTGACCATCTTCTTGTCATCGATCAGTGTGGAGGAGGCTGGGAAGATCCAATTCCTCGCCATGGATCAACACATTCGGTGGTTACGTCAACCCATTGATTTGGACCATGACTGGGAATCGATCCCCCCAGATCCATATCTAGTGACGATTGCCAACCTTCTAAACGAAGATTTTAGACGTCATTGTCACCTCATCGTTCACCACGATCACTGCATGATCGGCTCTGAAGATCTTGAAGGACTTTGCTCCTTGGTACGACATATGAAAAAATTGAAGGAGCTCATATTTGTGCATGAGGACATTGCTTGGGATGTAGACTTGTTGAGAGTAAGTGGGGTATTTCCCCAGCAGGATGAGCTTGCTACCTTGACACTCTTCAAGCTTGAAGAGGTCTACGATCTATTTCCAAACCCAGTCAATATTACCGTTCCCGATTATCGCAAGTCTATTGAGTATTACAATGATGATCTGCCAATTTGTAATCTCCAGGTAGATCTCAAATCGAAATTCGATAGTCCAAAGTTCGAGATTCTGGTCCGATATGGATGGAGGTTTCCAGATTCCTTGTCACTCCCTTCACGTCAACCTCGTCTTACCGAATTGGAATAATGGTTGCACTCGTTGAGATGCCAGTGGAGTCTTCAAAAGGGTAGTTTGGGAAGAGGTCAGAAACATTCTTCGAAAAACCAGATATTTGGAGGATTTATCATGATCACTACGCTCGGAAATATGTATTCACGTCATGGGAGAGAGATAACCTAAGATACTGCGGATAGTATTGGGATGAAAGCGAGATAATGTCACTTGGTCAGGTTGCTACCATACTCACTTATCAGATTGAGAGATTCAGCTTGAGCATACACAAAGTTTCAATACAGCGAAACGAGTAAAAACACTTAGATCAATTTATCATGCCTTTGACCTAACAACTTTGCCAATTGACATTGAAGTACGTGATGGCCCGGCTGATCTATACACGACTCCCCAATATTAAGATGTGGAATAGCAGTATCTATTGGTTAATATCATAGGCTCGTGTGCCATCAATATACCTTATCCATTTCCATGTATTCTGATATGTATTGCAAATGTTGTTTCAGAGCCCTAATGCTTTGAAGTGTAGATGCAAAAGAAAAACTTCTCTTGAACCCTAACCCCGCATCCTCCATTTGTACCAAAGAGCTTCAAATTCTATATGTTTCATAATGTTATGGTTGTAATCCCCGCCAAAAATCATCTGATACACCGCCCACACAAATAGCATTCCAACACTAAACTCGAGATGAATACAAAGCGCTTCTGGCTTACAGATCATACGATGCCAATTCAAATTCGCCGACATGGTCACCGATGCAAATACCTACCATCATGGAACAATCAGTCACCCTTGTACAAGCCATGGTCACAGGGCTGAGTATCAATTGTGGAAATGCAGGAGAATGTCAAAGTTCATCTTACTTTTGTCTCGTTTCTCCATCTGGGCGTAGATTGATTCGGAAAACATCATCTCGTCTCACCCCAGCTTGCATCATTCTATCAAATTACCCGGTCGATTGATATGCCATGGATCAAGGTATGTTGAAGACGTTGGAGTCACACACCACTTCTTATACTACCCCCCAGGATGCTGCCATGGCCTTTTCTGGGGACTCCAGAAACGTTGTTGTAATTTTCATTCATTCTAACGGTTTATCATCTTAACTGACTTTTGCTTGTCTTTGAAACATTTCATTCTTCTTCCATTTGAGATCTCTTGCATATCGACCCTTGAACTATCAACCGTATCAGGAGTTACATAATGAGTGGGTTTGGATGATCGGCAGGCGACATCGTCGCCGGCCTAAAATTGGTGTGGGATGTATGGAAAGCCGTCTCTGATGGACCCATGAGTGCCAAAGTTGAGGCAAAACAATCATTTGAAGATTTTAATCTGATTATACAATGCTTAGATGATTGGGAACGCCAAGATGGTAGTTTAGCAGAAGGTTCTAGTTTTGCAGCTGCTCTGTCACAACTCCAACAACAGTGTGTCGAGTTTCTTTCGAGACATATGCAATTAATAAGAACCGCCAATCCTCAGACTGTGATCACAAAGCAAGGAGTACCAATGTGGTCAAAGAAGGTTACTCTTCAAGCGACCAAATCAAAACTCTGTACATGCAGATTTCTTGGCCCTTCGAGAGAGGTCAACTTTTGAAACTTCGTACCAAGATGGAGTTATACCTCAGTCTAGCTACCTACAAAATATCTGTCTTAAAACACTCCGTAGTCCAGACACAAATAACATAGTGCGAGAGATAAGGTTCATCATATCATTAAAGAATACTGCTAGAAACTAATCATTCTATAGCCCTTCCTATGAAGAATTACTTTCTAATCTTAAGCTGGTCTCGTCTCATCTTGACGTGGTATCACCTATTACTCAAAACTTGAAAAGAGTAACACATCCTCTCGAGTCAAATCCTGAGATCAATCGAATTGATTATCCCATGTTTTGCCAACTCGAACAAGTATTAGCACCCCCACACCACAACCCCTTAGAGCAGCCGAATACCTCCACAACTTACAGCATCCTTGGCAAGATCAACACGGCGAAGACCCACCGAACTCGATCACGGTATCAACCATATCTGGCCAACCCAGTTTACTAAACGAAGGAATTGAGAGACGCTACGTTCTCTCACCGAGATTGGAACATCTAGCGATGAGGCAATCAAGTCCATATCTACTACACGCCCAAGAGGAACAGAAAAACCATTCGACCCGCTCATCTCACGATTCCAAGATACGAGGGGCCAAATATTCGATGCAGTGAAATAAAGCCTATGCAGTCGAATCGAATACACCAGCTCACAGATCCCTCATCATCAAGATGCGAAGCTGCAAACGCATTGTGGTACGAGCTTAGGCATAGAACCATCTCGAAACCCGTATTCGACGTGGAATACTAGGTATTGCACCCTGTTCATCAGTTCGCAAGTCCAGTCCCACTGCATAGTACGTACGGAATGCACTAGAGAAGAGAAGAATTTTCTTATCCACACGCATCACATCGAGATAGTGAAGCTCATTCCGTGAAATCACGGGACTTCTTCTACTACCTACCCGTAGTCCTCTGGGTACATACATCTCCAAACCGTGGATTTCGTGGCATTCCTCGGAGTAACTACATCAATACCTACCTACGGATATTTCCATTCCCGCATGCATGACTTTGATGGCTCATCGGGACGTCGACACAACAGAATTCTGTCTACCACTTCACTTCAATCTTATCGATCGACTCCCTCGATGCGTATCGATATCGATCCATCAATTACAGTGCATCTAAGTTTCTTTCAATTCCATCCATCCTGCCATATGCATCCATCTACCGACTTTACATCAGGAGCTACCCCAACCCAAACATGGATGCGGTGAACGTATTCAAACAATCTATCGTCCGATCCGATCCGATTCGATAATGCAAGAGTCATTATATCATCACCAATACCCTCCGTCAAGACGCAACGTTGCACTAAACTTCATCACTCAATCGTCCCTACTCCACCTCCAACTTCACAAAGCGCTAATTATGATACGATACCCTCCCTACATCGACAATCGCCCCGTTTACAAAAATGAACCTCATAGATACCATACCGTGTTCGAGAGCTAGGCTCTTACCCACCAGTGACCGGCTCAAAGTGACTACCTAGTAAGTCCAATGACCTTCACGGACCGAAAATTTCGCGTCAGAGTTTCTCACCTTGGACCGACCTACCTAATATACATTTCAAAACAAGAAAAGTATCTAAGATTCCTACTACACTAAAAAATACACAAATGCTTGCTTTACTAAAACAAATACCAGATTTCCTAAAATCTCACCACCTCATTCTCCTCAAGAAAATCAAATCAAATCAAATCAAATCAAGCATTACCTACTTTAATGTTCAATAGATCAAATCAAGTCTCTGAAAGATGAGAAAGGAAGAAAGAAATACTAATATCATCTAGGTAGGTATCTATCATTCGAATACTCCGTAACGCTATATCACGTATTCGCTACATTCTTTACTTCCTCACATCTTCAGATCGCAAGTCGGCTTTTGAGTAGAGTAGTGAGTGGCCTGCTAACTAAGTACACCTTCTTCGCGCCTCTCTTCATCCCTTAATAAATCGTAGCAAATGGCGCTCAGTATCAATATCCAAAGAACCAAAAGAACCAAAAGAACCAAAAACAAAAGTCATAACACTAGAGAGCCTTGATGATAGGCCCTTACATGCAGCTCGCAAAAAAGTAACGAGAATGTCAAGAAACAATACTCAAGATAGCATTACCCCAATCGACTCACAAAAATCAACAAATGGGGCATACAAGAGACTTCAAGACCGATCCTAAATTATCTCTGAAAAGAGCAATATTGATCCAGGGATGAATCATCGAAATCCATAACATTAGAAATGTATCTCCTCTACAAACATCATAATCAACTTTCTCTTTCGTCAAAATAGCAGACTGGGGCCCAGGTCTACCACTAGCCGCATATCTTCTAGATCCTCAACCCACACACTCACATTCATCATATCACTCTACCCATGATCTTCTTGCATCAACATCTCCCTCGTCCAGACCACCACACTTTCTAACAAGACTTCACACCCAAGAAATCATCTTCAACCGCATACCAACCTGTACGTAATCCTACATCAAAGCTCGAGCTTAGCAATCCGAGGTCCAATTTCGCGGAGTTAGGTTAACCCTCTTCTTAACTGTTCACTAGATCAAAAAGGTTAAAAAACACGATTGGTAAAAGTAAGATTGGCTCCAACAGGATGAGGAATGGTTGATGGAATATGTCAAAAGAGTGATTGATATCGTTCAGTAGTTATGTGATGGTTTTCACTGCAGGAATATGTGAATGACACGATTGAAAAGACGGATTAGTAATTTCGGAGCACCTGTGTCGAGTGATTTTCAGCCCCGGCAACCTACATTGAAGAATTGATCTAGGGAAGGGAAGGTTATGTAATGAGAATTTTATTTTCTGATCTCTAAACAAGATGCTCGTCTAGTCATCATACTTCGTTGAAAATAATCGAATTTAGGATGACGAGCGAGTAAGGCAGAAAATCCAACATCCACATAAAAGGCATGACAAGCATAGGTCTGTCAGAATTCATTGACACCCTTTGATAGCTTGGGTGACTAGTTCAACAGTATCAGGCATGCAGCAATTTCATGCGAGTCAAGTGAGTCTCATGATTCCCACTCGGGCAACAAATAAAGTAGCTAAACTTAGTACAACGAAACACGATGATTCCGGGAGAGAGAATAATCGAGGTTGTGCGCTGATGAAGTGGTGTAAGAAGAGAATTTCTACGGCCCGCAGACCTCTTAGGTCATCCTTTTTGTAGAAGATGAAAACAAAAGATACAAAAAGAAATCGTTCAATGCCAAAATTGAAGTTGCAAAATTCAATCCACATGTTCGACTTGACCTTTTTACCCCTTCATGGAGGCTTAGCCTTAACCAATTTTGGTATGGTGAGCACAGATTCCACCAACCAATTAAAGTTCGAATGACAGGCGGTTTCAAAAGAACATCCCGATGTTGTTGGAATGTATTTTGACACTGAAAGTTTCAAGAGAAAGTATAAACATGCCTTATATCAACGACTTCTCCTTCAAAGGGAAACAAATGATTGATGAATGAATCCCTTCGTCAAGTTCCAGTGATGCACCGAAAAGACGTTTATCCTCCGTTTGTGCCTATCCTTGTATGTATAACCATGCAATTCGGAAGTTATGTTTGGGGGGATTGCGATCTACATTGAAGGGCGAAACACGTCAGTAACTATTGATAGAGGTTTGAAATGAGGGTAAATTTTGTAAACATCCCTCGTCGTCTGCTTGACTGTAACCTCCTTTTCAATTCGCTTCACATCTTCTCCACCAAATAGATATTTTTGGATACTCACAGATGCGGCTATCATGAAGCTTCTCCAAAGGGCTTTTGAATAATTCCACTTTTTGTTTGTTGTTGAACCAATTGAGGAAACACAGAAATTGATAGTGATGGTGAGGCTAAGAGGAACGACACTAGGAAATTGACTAAAGTGAGACACTCTGCTCAATGCGGCTTAGTGGTTACCAAGTCAGGACAAGACGGATATCTGGGACTGTCAGGGACCGATGGTCACGTGTAGATACTAGACCCAAGAAATCCTGCACCGGCAGTGGAGAATTTGGTTACATTGGGGGGTTGCACAGACAGAGGACAAATGAGGAAGCTTGAGAGCTTACCTACTAGGTAGTCAAATGATAATTCGTGGGGAGACCAACACATTATTTGATGATTTTGATGGAGGAGGAGGAGGAGGAGGAGAGATGGAAAAAGAAGGGGAAACTTGAGAAGCGAAGGAGGAGATAATGTACCCAGCTATAGGAAGAGATCGAAAAGGGAAGAAGAAGCAATTGTTGAGTACTGGGTTCTAGGTAGATACGAGGTAGGGCAATGGTAGATTCATCAATGTTGAGGTATCAAGACCCAACATAGGAGTCCACCAGTCCATGGTACCAAATCAATACTCGATACACAACATGAAGTACTTGTGACTTGTTATTCCTTATTGGTCTAGCAGCAGCAGCAGCAGGAGTAGGAGTAGGAGTAGGAGTAGGATATAATTAGCTGGCACTGATTCAACTGACGACGAATATGATTTGATAAAGTCCGTCGGTCCATTGTTCTATACTTGAAAGATCACTGGAGGATCACCAAATCTGATACATATTGGGAGCTACTCACCAACACTGAGATACTGATATTGGACAGTGAGCACTTTATCGTCGATACTCCCAACATATCGGATGGATGTGATGAGAGATGCTTGCGGTGCATACCAGACCGGGAGGATAGAGTAGGAGTACCGATACCGTTGTAGAGAGGTACTGAGGATCAACGTCATATACGTTGACCATACCATTGGATAGAATACTCGTCCTTTTCCCTCATGTTTATATCTTCAATTTATGCCCCTGAATCACCTCCCACTTACGTTTATGATTTGCAACCTGCAACCTGCAATGTGCAACCCACAACCAACAACTCCCAATATCTTCACTTCAAGGCTTCCAATGGGGTGCGATGGAATCTTTTGTACTTCTTTCTTGTGGTTTATTGTTTTATACGGCGTAGATTGTATGTTCATTTCATTCCCTCCCTCCCACAGACCACTAATCAATCACTACTCACGACGTAGTCACTGCTTACTTTAAATGTACGTACCGGGTGCACTGGTGGTGTCTATCATTCATCCAGATTGTCAATACCTACCCAGGGACGAGTAGACTCACCACTCAATAAATAACCTTATGAAAATCCGCAGGCACGTAATCGAACCATATATGATATATGATTGTATGCACCGAGATACAAAATACCTACAGAGTACCCAGGTAACATCCACTTACCATCAATTCATCGTTTCCCAATATCATCGACACGTTAAATGACCAGTTTCCCCTTACCCCCCTACCCCCCTACCCCCCCAAGAAGAAGCGCGTGGTAATCTTAATGATAAAGCTTTTTGGGCCTTGACCCTTTTCCCCAAGTAATTATAATTATACCAATTATACCAATTATACCCAGTCGATTCATCCCAAGCCCAAAGAACCCCAGCGCCCCAAAAAATAACCCCTTTTGCTATCAAGTGGGAACACCAAGTCAAGCCAGACCTTCCTTTACTTGTATGTACCTATCGTAGAGCAAGCAATATTAATTCGAGAGAAGGAGAGAAAAAAAGAATCAGCCAGTCATCAACGGCCAGACAGCCACCAGACCCAAGCCAGCATTCAACTTGATCATAATTCGAATTGGGAATAGAATACATAGATAGAATACTATCCCTCCTGTACCTACCTACCGACCTACCTACTGTACCTACTATACTAGTTACCTCGTAGTAGAGTAGTCCCATTTACCGGTGCGACCTTGACAACCTTACCAACCTTACCAACCTTATCACCCTTACCAAACCTTTTAACCTACACACAACTTTTTTCGCCTTCTCTACCATCCATCGACATCACATTTTACATTCACTACACGACAATCGACAATCGTTTACTCTCCCATCTTTTTCTTCTATTTTCTTCAATCTTCCATTCCCTTTACCCACCCGGTATCGTAACCTTTCAACAACTTCCAGAGTAAATACACTTACTTGGTCAATTTTATCTATTCATATCTTGATCCGCAATAAAAGACCACGCGAACCAATACTTGTTGAGGATCAAAGAATTAATATCTGGTACGTGCTATTATTCGTATTCCTGCATGATTTGGACATCATCCCATCGAATCAATCCCTCGATCTTTCAAAATACCTTCAAATCTTCCATTTGCCCTCCCCCCGAGACTTGTCCATTGACTTTGATCTCTTCCATCTCAACTACCTTGTCTGCGACCATCTTTGCGTGCATCGAAGCTGATTTCTTCCATCTTGTGGTGCCAACAGAGTTTACAACCTCCCACCTTCTTTCTTCACGAAAACAACCACCTTCGATCCTTCTACATCAATCAGAACAATGGGTAAGCAATTTATTTCATTTTCGAGGCAGTCAATACTATGGGAGGAAATGGCATCGTCAGACTGTCAACAACTCCATCGACAATTGGTTGGTTCTCAATTCTTCGAATTCGCACTGCACCATCCATCACCCCGACAATTATTCCAAACACATGATTCTTGCAACTCCAGAGCTTCCAATCTCGAGTCTGATAGATTCGCACATTTCGAAATCCAAGTCAACGAGTTGAGAAGCCATCTGTAATCTGCCACAAGATGTTTCATCATCAAGATATGCCTGCCATGAAGCCAAATACAAGTGGTCACTGGAATCTCATCATCTCCAAGAAATCTTCTGCTCCAGCCCCTGGATCCCACACTGAAGATAAGGAATGGTCTGTAATTCGATCCGAGAGCCTGTCGAAGAGCACCTCACTGCCTAAGCAATCGTTAGATAACATCGAACAGCGTCAATACCCTGGAAGCTTGCATCGCCATCAGCGAGGAGCAGAACGTATTCGCGCCCAATTTAGAAGCATGCTGGATGTTGAAGAAGCTCCGAGTTTAGAACAAATTTCCATGGACCACCATGAGTCAATGGAGTTGTGGGTTGTAGAGAAGCTACAACAGGCTTCTAAAAATTATAGCACTACTTCAAATGACTGGGCTGACATTTTACCTCTCTACACAGCTACTAACGGAGCCCCAATGGCCCCTACCCGGTCTTCACCAATTCCAAACGGAGCACCATCATCCCCATTAGAAATTCCAATGACTGTCAGCTCAACAGATCCAAAGATCGCAGCTCAACAAGCAAGCGACATGAAGAACATTGTTCGAAGAAAGTTGACTGGATATGTTGGATTTGCAAATTTACCAAATCAATGGCACCGCAAGAGTGTCAGAAAGGGTTTCAACTTCAATGTCATGGTGGTTGGTACGTGTGCCGCTTCTCTGAATCAATATTTGGTATATGCTAACTAACTCCTGAATAGGTGAGTCTGGACTCGGAAAGTCGACTTTGGTCAACACTCTGTTCAACACTTCCTTATACCCACCAAGAGAACGTAAAGGACCTTCCCTCGATATTATCCCAAAAACCGTTTCTATCCAATCTATTAGCGCTGATATTGAGGAGAATGGTGTTCGTTTACGTTTGACTGTCGTTGATACCCCAGGTTTCGGTGATTTCGTCAACAATGATGAGTCTTGGCGACCAATTGTTGATAACATTGAACAACGTTTCGATGCTTATTTGGATGCTGAGAACAAGGTCAACAGAATGAACATTGTTGATAACCGTGTTCATGCTTGTGTATACTTCATTCAACCAACTGGCCATGCATTGAAGCCTTTGGACATTGAAGTTATGCGTAGACTTCATACCAAGGTCAACTTGATTCCAGTTATTGCCAAGGCTGATACATTGACTGATGAAGAAATCGTCGCCTTCAAGTTCAGAGTAAGGGTTCCCATTGCATATCTTAAAACTCACGCTAATCATGCTCTAGATCCTTGCTGACATCAAGCACCACGATATCCAAATCTTCGAGGGTCCACATTACGAAAAAGATGACGAGGAGACAATTGCTGAGAACAAGGAGATTATGGACAAGGTACCTTTCGCAGTTGTTGGTGCCAATTCCGAGATTACAAACAGCGAGGGACGTAAAGTTCGCGGACGTAAATACCCATGGGGTACCATTGAAGTTGACAATGAGGAGCACTGCGATTTCGTCAAGCTCAGACAAATGCTCATCCGAACCCACATGGAGGAGCTCAAGGAACACACCAACAATGCTTTGTACGAGAACTACAGATCGGAGAAGCTTACTGCTATGGGTGTTACTCAAGATCCAAATGTCTTCAAGGAGGTCAACCCAGCTGTCAAGCAAGAAGAGGAGCGTCAATTGCACGAGCAAAAGCTTGCCAAGATGGAGGCCGAGATGAAGATGGTTTTCCAACAAAAGGTCGCGGAGAAGGAGAGCAAGCTGAAGCAAAGCGAAGAAGAGTTGTACGCACGACATCGCGAGATGAAGGAACAACTCGAGCGTCAACGTCAAGAATTGGAGGAGAAGAAATCCAGAGTCGAGAGTGGAAGACCAATAGAAAAGGAAGGCAAGAGGAAGGGATTCTCACTCCGTTAAGGGGTGAACTCCTTTTAGTAACCAGGGCCTGCCTTTTAATGATGGTACCGACACGACACAACCGATACTTTACTTTTCAATTCATGTCTCTTTAATCATTGATCCTTAATATTTGGCAGTTGAAGAAGCGAGCGATGGGGTGAAGGGTGATATTTCGGGCGCGGCATTGCTTCTGCGAGGCAAAGGTCATAAATGCCATAATGGAGGTCTTGCATTCAAGAATGAGTGGTATTTCGAGGAGTTTTATTTTTGCACATGAGAATGACCGAAAGGGAAGAGGATAAAAATGCAAGAGACAAGACGAAAGACCATCATGCTTACAGAGAGATTGGTTTCTACTATAAGTTTTTTTTATTTTCATATGGCTTCAGATAAAAGTCTACCCGCGTTTCTTCATCCAAAAACTTTCTGGGGGGTTGATCAATACTCTGTATTTATTATGATAGCTCGAGAGACTTCTTTAGTTGTTTTTTTCCTTTTCTTTTTATTTTGACTTTACTTTGATCTGTTCTTTTTTGCGCGTGGTTTTCTTTTTCTTTTTTTTTATTATCTTGAACTTAATTGAGTAGGGCAAGGGAAGGCCTGATCTCATTTAAGTACGTACGTAACTACCTACCTACCTACCTACCTACCTACCTAACTTTTGCTTTGTAATGGAATGGAATGGAATGAATAATTAAAATGAAGATGAAAATGAAATGAGATGAGATGTTTTGATATGTATTTGTGATGTATATACGGGGAGGATTGAAGTGTGTGGGTTGAGGTTTGAAATGTGTGCTGTGCTGTGGTTTGTATGTTATAGGTTGTAAGTTGTGCTATGTGTAGTAAGAGAATGAAATAGGGATATAAATAGGGATAGGGATATGGTATGTTAATGTTAATGATAATGTTAATATTGATTTCATGTGAAATCAGAAGAGGAAATCAGAAGAGGAAATGAGAAGAGAAATGAGAAGAGGAAATGAGAAGAGGACATGAGAAGAGGAAATGAGAAGAGGAAATGAGAAAGAGGAAATGAGAAAGGAAATGAGAAGAGGAACTCAGAAGAGGGGAATCAGAAGAGGAAAATGAGAAGAGGAAATAAGAAGAGGAAATCAGAAGAGGAAATCAGAAGAGGAAAGGAGAAAAGGAAATGAGAAGAGGAAATAAGAAAAGGAAAAAAAAAGAAAAAAAGAAAAAGGAGGAGGAAAGGAGAAAGGAGGAAAGGAGGAAAGGTAGGAGGAATAGGAGGAAAGGAGGAAAGGAAAGGAGAAGGAGAGGAAGGAAAGGAGGAAAGGAGGAAAGGAGGGTGGGGATGATGGGTGGATGGAATGGGGAGGGGGTAGATGGATAATGAATAAGGGCTGGATGGGTTGGATAAATAGATGAATAGATAGATGGGGAGGGGGTGGATGGGGAGGGGGTGGATTGATAATAATTGATTTGGATAACTAGATGAATAGATAGATGGGGAGGGGGTGGATGGGTGAATAGTTTGTGATATGTAGTGTATGAATAATGAGTAGATGGGAAGATGAATGAATGGATGGATGGATGAATGGGTAGATAGATAGATGGATAAATAATGGATGGATGGATGGGGAAGGAATAATATGAATGAATGAATGAGTAAATAGGTGGGTAATGTATGAATAGATGGTGTGTAATATATGGTATATAATTTGAGGATGAAAGGAAGAGGAAGAAAGGGAGAGAGGGAAAAGAAAAAGGAGAGAGGGAGAGAGGGAGAGAGGGAGAGAGGGAGAGGGAGAGAGGGAGAGAGGGAGAGAGAGAGAGGGAGAGAGGGAGAGAGGGAGAGGAGGGAGAGAGGGAGAGAGGGAGAGAGGGAGAGAGGGAGAGAGGGAGAGAGGGGAGAGAGGGAGAGAGGGAGAGATTAGTTTAGGGGAAAAAAAGGAAAAAAAAAGGATTTTAATTTATTAATTTGTGAATTTTTGGATTTCTGGATTTCTGGATTTTTGGATATTGAGTTTTTAGGTTTGGGAGGGGTAAAGGGAGAGATTGAGAGAAAGTAGAAAGAAAATAAAAAGGAATATAGAGGGGAAGTAAAGGGAAAATAAAAGGGAAATAGAGGGGAAGTAAAGGAAAATAAAAGGGAAATAAAAGGAAATAGAGGAAAAGTAGAGGGGGGAGTGGGGAGTTGAGGGATTGAATAGGTAATATATTGGGAGATGGAAAAAAGGAGAGGAAAGAGGTGGAGGGAAGCGGAGAAGAAAAGGGGGGAGAGAGGGAGGGGAAAAAGATTGGAGATTAGATGGTGGGAAGGGTGTGAAGGAGAATTGATAAGGGGGGAAAAGGGAAAAGGATTTAGAATTAAATGATAAGAAAAGAATAGAGAGGAATGAATAATCAATTATGAATTATAAATAGGTAGGTAGATGTGAAATAAATAGATAAGTAGTATATAAATTTGAGAATTTGAAAATTTAGAGAGTTGAAAAAGAGGGAATTAGGAAAGGAGGAAGGAGGAAGGAGAAAGAGGGGAGTTGTGGTTTATTGATGTGTTTCAGAGCGAGCGTAGCGAAAGAAACTTATGCGTCGAACTTTACGGAATTTTCAAATGGCGTATATTTCGATTGTATTTTCTATATCCACTGGATATAGTATGATAATTTTTGTTGGTTTAATTGTATAAAGAATTGAAAGAAAAAAAACTTCAAACGAAGAATAAGCTTTACTTGCAATCTTTCGATGTTGAAGACTTGTTCAATACCGAATATTGAGCGCTCCGAAATACTGGCGAGCTGCCTCGCCCCGAATGAATGGATGGGTAATGTATGGATAGGTAATAGATTTTGATAATAGCTTTTAAATAAAAAAGGGATAAAGATAGTAGGGAGGAAGAATTGGGAAGCTGGGGTATAGAAGATTGGAGGGGCAAAGGGGGGAGAGGAGTAAAGAATAGAGAGAGGGGAGAGGATGGGGGGTAGAAAATGAACAATGAACTATGGATTAGATGAGGAGATGTGAGATAGGGAGATGGTTAGATAGATGGATGGATGGATGGAGTGGAGTGTGAGAGAAGTGTGAGTGAGTGTGAGTGTGAGTAAGTAGGTAGGCGCTGGAAGCGAAGTGAAATGGGAATTGGAAATTGGAAGCGAAATGGGAAGCGAAAGCGGAAGCGGAACGAGAATTGAAATGGAATGGAATGCAATGCGAATAGAATGCGGCGTCGAGTATAGCTGTTAAATTTAGAGGATATTAGGTAGATAGGGACTAAAAGATACAGGGAAGAAATGAATAAATACATACATGGAGAGGAAGATGGATCAAATGAGGAGTGAGATGGGATGAGATGGGATGGGATGGAGATAGATTGATTGATTGGTTGATTGATTGATGGGTTGACAAGGCAAGGAAAGGAAAGGAAAGGAGAGGAGAAGAAATGAAAGTTTAGAATCTATTTAGCACTATTTCGTAATGGAGAGTGAAGAATTGGCTTGGATTGAGGGATGTCGTTTGTGCGGTTGATTGCGGGGTAGGGTAGGGAGATGGATGAAGAGAATGGGTTGGGTTGGATTGGGTTTGTTTGGTTTTGGTTGTTTATAGGTCTTGGAGGTTAACTCTTATAATAAGAAGGAATAATATTATTATAAGGATAGTGGAAGATCTAGTTAGTTTAAGCTATAGGGATAAATCGAATATATAGAATAAGAATTGAATTGAAGTCAATTTAGAAAAGCTAGGTTGAGTTGAGATGAAATTGCTTGCTTTTTCCTAGAATTCCTTTAAAGAATATTCTAGGTTTATATAGTTTATAATGAAATTCCAGTATATTCTATATTTATAAATAAGATCGATTTAAATTATATCTTATAGAATCACTTTAGATAATAAAAAGAAAGTATAATCAATCAATTTAATAAGATTTCCTATATACTTTTATTTAGTTTCATTTCATTCTATTCTATTATAAATCAATTTGATAAGAGATATTGTTATACAACTATATGATAATATGATTTTATAATATAAGATTATATTATATATATATCAGTTATCAATATATCCCTTATTTGATAAAATATTAATAAGTGATTTAGTGGACTTATTATGAATCCTTACATACCCCCTTAATAGGTATACTAAATCAATCTTATTATATATCTTAATTCAGATTGATCTGATTCGTGAATTCGATCAATTTGATTCAAGCTAATAGTTTAATAAGCCCATCAGCTTTCTATTCATTAATAGATATATAAATTAGATCTAAATTCTCTAATTTAATAATATTCCTAATATAATAGAATCTGATTACTATATACTTACTTCTTTCGTAAAATATAGAATTCTTAATAAGCATTAGTATAGCCTGATTATCTATATATAAAGGAAATTTATTCTGCTTATATAGATTAAACTCCAATAATAGCTTTTTAATATAAATAGTCTCTTTAACAGTTAGATTTATAATAATAAATTCAGATTTAGTTATAGATGTTACGTAAGCGGAAACAATAGAAGTTGTAAGCTTTACCACTACGCCACGCACGCAATCTGTCCAAAAGGCACAGTATCAGGAATCGAAGTCCTGACAGCTTAATACTATATATATACCCTGTAACAATAGAAAGAGCTATTATCGATTATAATTTAGATTTTCAACTAATAGGTTTATTTCTTAGTATAAATATATATCCGCTAATGAATTTATATATATTAATCTTCCTTTTATAATCAATATTATAGAATTCTTAAATATAAGGATTTTTAATTTTATTATAATTTATATTTTTATTTATAATTCTTTTCAAATATCTCAGTATTCTTTTAGTAGCTTGAATATATTCTACATTAGGATTGGATAAGAAACTAGTTAATCTAGACATAGAAAATATTATATCTAATTTAGTTCTGAGAGCTAAATATAATAGAAAATCTATAATTTCTTAATATAATTTAATATTATTATTATTAGCTTTTCCTTTATTATAAATTAACTTTATTTTCGGGTTTATTGAAATGGAAATAGAATTGGAATCTAGTATATTGAATTA